TTAAAAAAAGTAATGTCTGCATCTCTTTCCCATGGAAGAGTTTTACCGAATTTTACCGCCCCAAGTAAGCCGTGCCTTCTTGCAGCTCACATATGATTCCGGCCTCTTCGCATGATTTTAATACAGCTTTTACGGCATCGGCATTGAATTGACCAGAACACGGAGGCAATGCCTTCGACCCTGGTTTACGAGTTAATTCATTTGCACATGATCGCTGTATAGTTATTCCATTAGGTGTCACAATTTTGAATAAATTCCATTTTCTCATAAACAATTTAAGTTCACCATATAAATCAGTATGCAGTGATTTAACATGATACATTGAATCTGGACAGATAATACTTTCATCAGATTGTTGTGATATCCTGAGAAACCATTCTTCATATAAACCGTCTGCTGCATTCAAATCCTCGAATGTTTTACTTTGCAAGTAAGCTTTTGAACTTACAAAAGGACCTGATATATAATCACAGAATAGACATTCATGAAGAGACTCATCGTAGCCCTCTAAATACTTTAATGTAGCGTTTCTATACACTGCCTGGAAACATCCTTTCTTCCAATGTCCGTCGGGATCCCTAATAGCTGCTCCAGCAACTTGAACACCAATTATTTCTATTTCTCGTATAAGCCTGTCTAACCGAGAATCATTTGTAAAAAGTTGAGCATTTCTTGCTACAAATACATAGGGTGTTGTAACCTTGTTAACAATCATGTTTAAAGCCGCTCCTTCCGTCACACCATTACTGTCTATCACAGATAATAATGGATATGTCCCTTGTATGTTCTCCATTAGTTTAACATTGTCCACGGATAAGATCACTTTGAAATTAGAATAAGTTTTATAAATAGATGACAAAAAGGTTTTGATCTCCTCAATTGAGGAATCAAAGTTTTGTTGAGGAATGGTAATATGTTTTATAAGTGTTACAAGCTTCCAAATAGGAATTCCATGAGTGCAGTTTGTGGTTTCGAATCCTTTGTAAAAGAATGGATAACCGAATGTAGTTCCCATGTACTTTTCTGGACATACGTTCTTAGGTTTGTTGATTGGTCGGCTATATAGAGTTTCTGGATTTACTCCTAATTCTACCAGCACAGAGTCCATTGTTTCTAAAGCTTGTTTTAAAGAATCTGATGTTTTAGAACCTCTTACATGCTTTTTAGCAGTTTGTATGAATTTTGCTATGTGTTTTATTTTTTCTACTACAGTTGGAGAATACGAACGCGCATTATTATTGTTGTTGTGAGCCGGTACTATGACACCACGATCTTGAATTCTAAGTGGATTCTGTGTAATAATTCTGTAACTGGCCTGAAAATAAAAATGATATTTCGCAGTTTGCAAATACAAATTACATAAAAGTCAAATAAACGAGCCATGTTTTACTGTGTATGCATGTTGCAAGAGCAGTCAAATGAGGATGCACTTAATCTGTAACTTCCGCAATGCAACACCCTTAAGTAGACAATCGTTTTCCTTGTTGGTGACAGATGCTACTCTAGAGATCTTATGTTTATCATAAAGTCTTGCTTTAATAGGAACTGTTATGTTTTTTTACAAGAGGTTAATACTATATAGAGAGAATTGTAAATCTATAACGTTTTCTGGCGACGATTTCACTCACACCTGTATAATCCCTGATTTACAAATTTATCCCCTTTTTATTGGGATATCAACATATCAAAGGCGAACAAAAATAAAACTGATAACAGTAAATATCTATTGCAAAAATTCGAATAACTTTTGGTGTATGTAAAGATAGTATAACTAGCTATCTGCATGTCTTTGCGTTAAAGCCTGAATGTAAAAGGAATAAAAACATCGTTATATATATTTGGAAAAACATACTAAAAAGACAGAGACGGTACTTAATAATTTTCAAAAATAACAAGATTACTGTATTAGAACAAACATTTTGGAAATTGTTTTTGTACGGTATAAATAATGGCTTCTTTCGGTAACACGATTCTAACGAAGGTACTGAAGGCATCAGTTGGAAAGTTTGCACGTTTGTTTTGAACGTTATAAATAATGGCTTCTTTCTGTAACACGATTCTAACGAAGGTACTGAAGGCATCAGTTAAGCGTGACTTTATCCATGCATAATTTATTAAACTAAACATTTAATGATTTTTTTATAAATATACTGACTAATAACATGAAACTGACAATACCATTACACGCATGGAATAGCTTTTAGTAACTAATTAATTGTTAATTTTCACGAATCCATAAATTATTTAGTTCACATTTTCCGCTTTAAATATAAAATGTATCAATATATTTATCCTAGTAACAGCTTAACTTTTCTAAATAGTAAATTTACCAATTGTTGAATAGGTTTTGCAGACCCCAAAAATAAATAAATAAAATAAAATTAAGTAAATAAATAAATAAATAAATTTTAAGTGTGTCAGTAGAAAAAGAAATAACGTGAACAGTTTTTTTTAAGCTTACAACTCAATTCGTAAAAATTTAATTTTGTAAATAAGATGATAATAAATAAAATATTGATAGAAGTTAGAGACTGACCTGGTTGAACACAAAGTTCATGTATAATTAACCCATCCTTACATGTACAAATATATTACAGCCCATCCTGAACACGCGACCTTAAAGGGACTCAACTGAGATTTTTTTTGACCTGATGGGATGGAAAATATTTTTTTTCCGAGATTTGTGAAACATTAATGTAGGCAAATTTTCAGATAATTTCCTCATCCCATTTTTGCAAATTAATAGTTTCTATTTTACAAAATGAACAAAAAAATGAAAAGCGTTGCAACACTTTTCACTCAAATTGGGCTTAGAATCGCACAAAAATCCTATTCATTTGAAGTTTTAGTACTTTTAATATTTCTTTGTAGATTATTTCTATTTTAAGTGTTTCACGTGATCTATGTAAAAAATTAAAATGTTATGTTTTTAGGCTTTTTGGCCACAGTGGAGCTCTGTAGGAGCACATTTGTCTCGAAGCACATTTGTCTCACGAAGTGTGACCGATTTGTTCGTAAACATTCATATTTGCGACAAAAATTGGAAATGAGACAGATGTGTTCGACACACAATAGAAAGGACCACTCGAAGCACATTTGTCTCACATTTTTTCCATAAAATTCTTAAAAGGTAATAATTATATCCATCTGTAATGCCGGCTACCAGCTATTTGTTCTGTGTTTTCTGTATTTTATTATACCGTTTTTAGGTCACTTCCGGTCAGTCAAAAACTTTTTCTTTGCCTTATTTCATAGGAGTCATATATTAAATTAAATACTATCCTTGTTCTGTCATGTCACAATGAAAAATTTCTACATAGTGCAGCATCCAGAACCTAAACACAAATGCAGCAAGTGTATTCTTATTGTACGTTTAAATTTTCAAATGCATAAAGTTTAATATATGAGTTAAGGCACTAGGAACAAATTATTCCTTAACAAAAACACGTAAGTATCTACGGTGGCATAAGGGAGACATAAAAAAATTTTCTTATTTATTACGTGCGCACACGATAGCTTTTTCTTACGTGGCCACGCGATACTATTTACGTGCGCACGCGGATATGTTTTCCGCATTTGGACTCTGACCGGGATCCTCGCATTTATAGTTCCCGACGCCCCGTGTATGTGTCGAACCTACAGCGGTTAGGGGCAAGTGGTTTTTTAAAAATCACTCGGCCAACGGAAGGCCCGTAAATGATCTATGGAAGAAAATAAGAAAACCATTACACACGTTTTGTTTTCATCAGAAATATTTTGTATAAAAATCGTCATTTTTTTCCAAGAATTGCGGCCGGCTTTCAGATCCACCATTGAAAAAGCACTTACAACACAAGCATGAGTTCCTAAAAACAATCAGGGTAATGCCATAACTATGGAATATCGGGCCACTCAGAATCGGGCGAGACGAGACATTCCGATGAGACACGAAGCGAGGGCACGATATTGTAACACCGAGATCTCGCAATGTCGAAGTAATCCCGTACCACGAGATTTAGAAATGAATATTTTTTTATTTTTTCGGCATAATTAAGCCTTTAAGTGATTTTTATGTAGAATATAAAGGGAATACTACATAGCGGAACCAATTTCTTGTCTCGCGCCGACGAAAACGAGAATGCGAAGCGAGACGCGAGAATTCGGCGAGATACGAAAACGAGTCACGATATTGCATCAATTCAGTATCAACCGATTTCACGGTGTTCCGTTTGGACATAAGTAACATTTTGTCTCCAGCTGAACAGCTGTGGCACAATGGTGAAAAGAGATGGTACGATGATTAAACACGATGGCACGATGGTGAAATCACGATGATGCGATGACACGGTAGAGAAAATAATTATCGCGTTTTCATCATCATGCCATCGCAGTTTCATAATATCGTTCCATCGTATTTTCACCATCGTAACATCGTCTTTCACCATAGTTACCAAACACGTTTTCCATCATCGAGCCTTCGTTGTTTCACCCATCGAACAATACGTCGTTTTACGTTCGTACCATTGTGTTTTCACATCGCGCACCATCGCGTTTTCATCAACGAGTATGTCACCATTGTACCATCGTGAACGGTATTTAGTATGCTTCAGTCTACGCTTTCAGGTTAAGCCAATCAATTTCTTGAATTAGAGATATTTAATTAATAACGTTCACTTTAGTTTTCATAAGGAAAGCATAAGCAAACCTTTTTGATGATTACACTTGACATGAGGTAAAACGGCGAACCTCGATTCTAAAAAAAAATTTCTGACGTGGGGAAATGTGTGAAAAATAATTCATAAAAATGACATGAGACAAATGTGCTTTCTTGTCCCTTAAAAACACATGAGACAAATGTGCTTTCTTGTCCCTTGAAAAACTTGATCGGAGCACATTTGTCACACAAATGAGTTTTTTTTGGGAAGACATTTGAGGTCCCATTTGTCTCATGTGGGACAAATGCGACCGCATCGGTCTTACGTAAGACAAATGTGCTCCGAGACAAATGTGCTCCTACAGAGCTCCTTTAAATTAAAGTGAGACGACCAACCGTCACAGGTTTCAAAACTACGTGAATTAAATTTGTAAAAGAAAACACTACATATGAAAGTAAAATGACTAGAATCAGACTTTAAATCAACTGCTGAAAATACGAGTACCTGTCGTAAATATAGCTAGTTAACATATATATCATGTATATACCTTCTGGTGAAGTTGTAGATTCAGCGTGGAGAAAGAAATCCACGACATGATTAGAACACACACCAACAAGAGAACGAGTTTATGCTTAATCCAAACTGTTCTCATCTTTCTCACTTGTACTTTAAGACTCTGAAAGAATACAACACATTTCCCTACATTTAATTTACACCAGAACATAATTGAATAGTGAAACGATTATCCAGTGTGAATTATAGTTTTTCTCTTTCTTCGAAGAAGAGCTTTTACTAATCTTAAACAAAGGAATAAAAGCAATTACACTCCCGAGAGCACATGGACTATTTTCACACGGTTAAGCATGGAATAAAAAAATAAAACAAATAAATCCATACACAGCCATGTTCTTTATCATCACTGAGAAAGTTTGGATACGACACGGAAATGACGGGAAAATATCGATACTTGCTACAACTAGAGAGGCCACTATGATTGTATTTTATATCTGTAAAGACCGAAATAATCGAGAATTTATTGCCCGCTTCTCTGAGATTTTTCAATCACCCCACATAGATAAAGATGTCACTGTTTCGTTTAAGGTGATCAGATTCATCAGTTTATTGAGAGATATAATTACTGAACAAGGGCTCAAAAACACGGAAATTTATATATCAGCCGCGCCATGACGCTATCAGTTTCTCTACTTGTTATAGGGTTTGTAAGCGAACAACATGGATCCTGATTAGACTGCGCGGATGCGCAGGCTGGTCTGGGTTCATGCTGGTCGCAAACCAATTATGTTGGTTTTGGTCATGGCGCGACTGATATATTTTGATAAAAGTGATAAAACGGAAACAATTGAACGCATCTGATAAGAACTGGTTACCGATACGTTTCTATCGATCGTGATTTTAATGGTTTAGTTACCTATTCATTTTTTATACATTAAACGCGGACAAAACATTCAGAACATACATACATACATACATTTTTTACTTTAATTTAATCAGACATGTGTCAGATAAGAGAAATCCAAGAACGAGAAGGGATTTGTTTCGATTACATTTACATGTGTACTAAGATACTTAAAAAAAAACAGACAAGAACTGTCGTTAGAAACGGACAAGTGCCACCCCCCCCCCACCCCCCAAGCAGGACCCAGTACAAAAACCACTACCTTTGAACTTGAGACTTGGTCCAATTTCGTCAAAAATCATCATCATGTCTATCACATGTACTCCAAATTATCTTAAAATCCAACCAAGAATGACAAAATTCTTGACCGGACATAACCCCCATGCATTTTTTTATGAAATAATTATATAATGACTTTTCAATACAAGTGTGACCTTGACTTTTGACGTAGGGACCTTGCCGCTTAATTCTCAACAAGAACATCCTCCTCCTCCTCTTATCTTAGTGCAGTAATACTCCCGTGGACAAAATTATCAGCATCAACACGACCTGATTCTTGCGCTCGACACCTCGTCATTACATCAAACACATTTATGCATAGTAAGTTTTAAACCAATCGGGAAATGTCCGAATTGTTGACCGGACAAGAACATCAGTGTATTTTTTTAAAAATTCATACCTTGAATTTTCTTTCTCTACAAATGTGACGTTTATATTACAAGTTCATGCGATTTATATACTTATAATTTTCCTGTTTCTGGAAATGACCAGTACTGATAACATGCGAGAAATCGTGGTCTAAACTTGAGAAGGACTCGAACTCACGGCTCCTCGTTTTGGATGCAGACATCTTTATAACTATACCACTGCATTAAATTTTACGATTTTTTAAGTTATTCAAGCCTTTTTAGATTAAATATCAAATTTTAGCAAACGACAATTAAGCGCCTGGTCAGATTACACGAAAGAGGGACAGAAATGGGTTTCTATATTTTTTTTTATTTTGTAACGCTTTAGAGAATCATATAATGTTGAGTATATTTTAAATACATGCATCTTAATTTGTTAGTCTATACAACTTTTAATGTGGGGTATATTTGTATCCACCATTATAAAATCTGTACGGAGTCTAAATTCACTATTTGTCGTCTGGTATTATTTTATCTCGTGCGTCGGAATATTACGACACAATGTACCAGATTAACAGCAGATGTTCCTTTGTTATGAGATTTTAATTTCGTTTGTATGCATATCTATTTTCAAACATAAACACAGTAATACTTGCTCTCTACCTACCCGACCATGTTACACATTTATTCAAAGTTTCGATATGTGTCTATGCATTGTCATGTTATCCATCTATCCTGACTACATATTTGTTTACAGTCGGAACACCTCGACTTTTATTCATAATAATCCCCGAATTAATACGGATTGAAAGTAGTTCTTTCATGTGACAATATAGAAGTTAAAACGGATGTATCTATTTTACACGAAACGGAAAATAAAGTTATTTCGGTACAATTGTGATTGAAAAACATGTCTGATTATCATAATGAATTAAAGACTTAAAGAATGCCTATTGTCAACCAATGACAAGCAAATCCAAGCTACCCCCAACAGGTGTGCAGCTTAATGCTTATCAGATATTTCTTAAAGTTTAAAATAGTTAATATCCAGTCGTTTACTTTAAGTATACAAATATGCTGACTCACCTAGAATTTAGTGACCAGTTTCTAAATTTTGCAAATACCAGATCGAAATAAACCACTGAAAGTCTAATATCTATGACTATATACTACGTAATTCGGCGATGTATTTGAGACTACGAGAACAACTACGACTACGCTACCACCTATATGGCCAACTTCATCGCCGCTAAAAACATCTACAACTACGAAGCATATGATGACACAAATGGCTACGACAAGAAAATATTGACGATCACTAATTTGACTTTTGCATCTTATTTTTACAAGTTGACTACCAAAATACGCTACGATGACTACCAAAACTACAACACTTACAACTATGAGTAAATCTAAGACTGCAACAATAACCATGACTAGGAATTCAATGCTGGCAATTATGGCCAAGACTTCAACCACTAGTACGACTTTTACGAATTTTATGACTACAAGTCGTTATCTATGACTAGGGAAATCGGCTTTTTACGGCTACAAATGGTTAACGACGTCGATGACGATTCTAGACTGTTACGATTACTTGTACAGTTTGACTAACAAGTTGGCAAGTAAGGTTACAACTATTACTTTATGGCTAAGACAACGGCTTAAACTATAATGATCCTGACCTCGACTATTAGAATTACTAGTTTGGCTACAACTTCGACAGCGATTACCACAACTACGTCGTCTACGATTTCTTATCGACCACAACTGCACCGACGACTACGAATACCACCACAGCTACATCAAATATGACCACAGCTTAAACGACTACGACCTCAGCTACAAATTTTATGATTACAAATTTTATGACTACAAGTATTACGAGTTCTATGAATACAGATACGACAAAGTCTACGACCACAACTAATCAGACAACCTTTTTTACGACGAAACGGTGATGTCGGCTACGACAATGGTGACTAGGACTTCAACGATTACGGAAACGACTTCAGCGTCGTCGACTTGTATACGTTTTAAACCAACATAAGAACCTTGCATGTAAGTTATATACATGTACGTCTTTAGTGCGTGCTTCACACATCTCGTTAGTGTATACGGTGCAATAGGGTATTCATATTTAGTCAGAATTCATACAGTGTACATGTCAGAATTTATTAAGCAAACGTCAGCAATTATAATAGTGCACGTTAGTAACGTCGCTTTTCATTGGATAATCGTGACGTTTAAACAGATTTTTATACAAGGCTGCTGTCAATCACTTTTTTCTCGAAAAAATGCTTGCTGTATGATTAATTTGTTATAAATTTTAATGACAGATTATGACCGTATATAAACGATTGTTTGCAATATAATCCTCGCCTGCCTTCTCGGGTTATATTTTCTAAACAACCGTGTACACTGCGGTATACCGTACCCCGGATATTGCTCGATATTATGAGGACTTTCATCCCATTTCGCGACTTTGAACGAGGAAAGAAGGTATGTTTAGTGACGATATTTAGTCATTTTGTATTGGTTTGATATCAGTTTTGTAGAAAAACAAATACTTCGATAATTTCTCTAGTTACTGAAACCCCAAAAATGTTGAGAAATAGCTTTGAAATGTAATTAGGAGATACAATTCGTCTCTTTGCTCACGTGATAAATGAGCTCGGATCAGTCAAATTTGATGTTTTTGTGCATATACTTCCTTAAAAGAAAAACTTGAATCGAGTGAAATGTGATAATGATGATAATGTTTATGTTGTAAATGTTCAATCAACAATAGAACCTCAGATAACAGTGCATTTTGAGAATAAATACACATGTCAGTGTACCGAGTATTGCTTTGGAGTTGCCCGCCGGTGTCACGAGTATTGCTTTTTAGTGTAACGAGTATTGCTTATCAATAAAGAGTAAATGCACGTAGTAAACACAAAGTATTTACCACATTTAATTTTAAATATTTCTTACTGTGTATACTTATTTACACTATAAGTGCAGAATATGCAGAATTCGGAGGTACTTTACTGGAAACATCTGCGAATAATCCAGATTTTCATTCCTGCTCGTGAAAAATCTCAGTTTTCTGTGTTTAAAATGTTTTCGTTGCTATCGAAGGATCAACCTTTCCAGAATTTGTTAATAATTATTGCATATCTTACTTTAATTAGTAAAAAAATGCATCCAAAGTGCATTAATACTGCCTCAAGAACGGTATTGAGCAAGTGTGCCAATATCTAATATCAACCGACTTCCTTCTATGCCAAAAATCCATATAAAGGTAATTTTCGGGCATTTTGCACCTGCACTCTAGCAACGGCAGACCGTCTGCACGTGAAATTTTGTTACGCCTTAGCAATGAGTTACCGTATGACTGCCGAGCGGGTACAGCTAAAAAAAACGAATAATGGATTTTGATAAGATTATGATAAAGGGCAGCAGATGCAATTAAAAGGTTATGTTCCTTATAACCTTTTACCTCATAAAGGCGTGTTTTTAAAGACTTTACACCACGCCCCTTTTGAGGCCTCAAATAGTGTAAAACATGCGCTATTTAGGCCCCAGATACTGTTTTTTTTTGTTTGAGAAATGTTGTTCAAAAGAGTGATCACTTTTTCGGCGCCACCTCCATTAAAAAGGTACAAGGGGGTTACACAGGGGGGATGTGCCCCCTTCTGTTTGGGGGTTTGAAGTGGGGCCGTAGCCCCTCTAATCGTCGAGAAGACTTGGGACTTGTGGGGGGGGGGGCTAAATGGCCTCAGGTCAATTTAAAGGTACCGTGTAATCAACGCCGAAAACCTTAGACTTTATCTCAATCAATTGAGAAGTTGGTGCACCTTGAAATTTTTCGCATTATGCTCATGCAGTAAAAGGTTAAGACGATACCGGCATGCTTGGACGGCATAAGCCCTTGGGCCAGTATTTTATGAGGTGCGTCGATATGTTTCTTAAGGCAAACTTGCCCTGTAAAAACCTATTATTAATGTCATCTAAATATGTGTTTTTTTTATTCTTGTCCTTTTCAGAGATGGGTCTCCTTGATCAAAGTTTCTTGAGACATGTATTTAAAGTTTTTTATCGTCAATTTTGATGGTTCTACCCTGCTTCCGACCCTGCACATACTTTATTTCATCCATAGAGTGATTTTCAATCAAATGGGAAATTAAATCTCTGTATTTGCCTGTAGGAAAAGAACAGTAATAACACTGAAAATGCATTGTTGAATCTGAAATATTTGAATAAATATCATATAAACAGTACATTGTCAGAAAAATGAAATTGAATCGATAAACAGACGTGAAAATTAGACAAAAATATCGATTTTCCATACTAATGTGCTCATTCTGTTTTGCAATACTCTGTACACTAAAGTTGGGCTATTTTGCAATACTCTGTACACTTAAAATCAATACTCGGTACACTTTCTTGTATCTTTTTTGGCCTGTATCTTTTTGTACTTTCACACTTTTTGCTTGAAATTTGGACAAGGTATACTTGGATTGTGAATAAAAAAATTGCTCGATTCAATTTTTCTTATATTGTTAATATAATAATTTCTAACGATTCTACAGTATCGCGGTCAGTATTTTCTAGTGAGCAGCGGATCGTTTAGGGGTAGTTTAATCAATTTTACAAATACCTGTAATACTTTTACGTCTTTTAGAGCTACAAAAATACCTCTAGATATATAAAACCCGTTGAGATAAATGAAATAGCCATAAGTTTGGAAAATATCGTCGCTGAACTTACCTTTGTTCCCCGTTCAAAGTCGCGAAATGGGATGAAAGTCCTCATAATATCGAGCAATATCCGGGGTACGGTATACCGCAGTGGTGTATATAGGGCCATTTACCCTGTCAAAAATCGTTATAACTTATATCATACAGTGCAGGACAACAGTTATAGTTCATGTCACATGACTGCATACTTACAGAACATGGCAACATTCATACTGAATATAATAGCATTTACACTAAAATATTACAGTACATGAAAGCATCTTTTACAGTACACGACAACATTTACACATCATGTGTTAGCATTGTTTTTGGGTACGCGACAGTATTCATTCCTACAGTACTTTGTCAACATCTATACTATACTACAGTAAATAGTATTATTTATGAAATAGACTGTTAATACACCTTTCATGCATTAATATCTTGAGAAGCATGATGACGCATTTAAAGTCCAAGCCGATAGGACGAGGGATTTAATTTATAACATTACCAACCAGTATTTATACAGTACATATCAGTATTTCATGCCTTAATTGTAGGCATTTATACAGTTTTTTACAATATTAACACGGTTCATGGCATCATTTTTTCATGGTCACTGCAGCATTTTATCAGCACATGTCAGCATTTATACAGTACATTACAACATTAAAACAACGCAACATTTATACATCAACATTTATACAGTGAACTTCGCGAAAATAGAATACATTATAACAGTTACAATATTTCACGATGCACTGATGGATTTTCAACGTGTCCTACCATAATTTATTTGACTCAGTTGTCTTTAGTTTAAGCATACTTAATTCTGTTTGTGGTTGATCAAAGGGTCATTTGTTTAACAAATTGCGGACCTTATTTTTGCTATGACCATACATGTTATCAACACACTACCCTTGTTTTAGTATAATATCTTGAATGTAGGTCGATACAATATATTTAATGATAACAGAATGATAACGGTTAAAGATAATTTTGATACACATACAGCTTTAGAAAAAAACACACGTTTTCTTTTCGATTTTATAATACGGTTCTTACAGATAACATTTAAACAACACCGTATATAGTTTTTAATCAATATAACAAGTTTATTGCAATACTTTTAAAATAGTCATAATTAAATGTTGCGTTATAAACACACATCTTCTATAGTTTGAGAATAATGTTAAATATTTTAAACCGGGAGGAAAATAATCTTTAGTCATACTATCATATTAACTCAAAATCAAGCTTAAAATATCTAGGTTTAAAAGCGGTATACATGTAGAAATGCATGGACAGATGCACATTTCAATAACAAAAGTGGGGTATAAAACTTAAAAAGATAATCGTTACCTTCATTTTGCACTCCCAAGTTGTATATTTCCTGTTAAAACATGGTTTATATTATCATATTAATACAAATTTAAAACAACTAAAACACCCTTTAATCAGTGATGAACAACGCAAATTATTTTGTTTTACAAGCATTTTCGCCTCAAAAGTTTATTTAATGCAGTTGGAAAGAGACCGTTTCATGTTACTTATAAGGCCAAATAAAAGAGATAACAGTTTACTGGTAGCGCTATTAAACTATACTGCACAAGGATTGATTATGCAATATTTAACTAATATAAATATTTTCGCAAACGTTTTTTTTTTAAATAGAAGAAACTCCAAAACGATATATCTAAACGTTGAAAATATCATAAAAGGCCAAACTGACACAACTTAATTATCTAGACTAAAAAAAACCTTGGTCTTCCAACCCCTGGGAAAAAGCGGTTCTGAAACTTCGCGGTAAATTTATGTCCCATCTTGAGGGAACTGTTAGCCCGAACTTATTCTCCGCTATTTTCGCGCCAAATTAAAACCAACGCAATGGACAAAAGGAAAGTAAAAACTCCCCCAATGCAATTAAATGCTGAATAAGTTAGTGTTAGGGATCAAGTTATGATTTAACGAAAAATTTATTTGCAGGCCCTTAACTTTAAATCTGACAATAATATCAGATATCATATAATAATATGTTACTATTCAACAAAATGAATATTTTACATGATCTATTCATTCATATCCGGTTTGTGCTGCAGTTTAAGTATTTCAGATACTTTAAAGATAAACGGACCATCACGGTTTCTAACAATTAGACATTAGAACATGTCACAACAAAGTATTGTTTAACTTCCTTTTATTAATCACTTTTATTGATTTACATTTTATTCTATCAAAGGAGCCGGCGCACGTAATAGTTAAGTATTACCACACCGTATTACCGGCGGCTGTGATGGCAGATCACTGCAGTGATGGCAGATATCTGAAAATTACCGATCGATACAGGTAGGTTATTAATTTGGTTGGTTTAATTATATTACACAAATACGGCCCATTTCATTGCTATAAAAGTATTGTCCATTGAATGGAGATACTGTAAGGTAATTTTGGACTCGTTTTTTCCTGTTTTAAAACTATTTTGGGCAGGTTAAAAGTGACAGCCTCGGAAAAATCCGTGAAAATGTTTTCTGTTCAAAATATCTCAAGTTTTAAGTAAATGGCAGGATTGCCTGTTATCAATATAGACGTCCATCCATTGGGGTCACACAAGCCAAATATCTACCCCGTGAGTCTTTCCTTGAAAGTTTTACAGACGCTCAATCTTGTCCGGTCGTAGAAAAAATGCTGCCGTTGTAGGCAGATATATATTATAAATGCTGCCGTCGATGGCAGAAATATCATGAAAGTGGCTAACATTCTGACAGAAAATCAAGTTCAATCTTTTATCAATTCCTCTTTTCTTTGCGTCCTTTTAGTCGGAATTGACACGTTAAACTATCATTTCTAATATTTTCTCAAGATAGAAAAGTTATTAATGCGGTATGTGCATCGAAAAAAGCTTTTTAGCAACATGCAGTTACAATACAAAAAGTGATGATTTAGTACGACAAAATTACACTATAAATAGAGAAATGAACATGAAAAACTTTATTTTTCTATATTCATGCATGTGTGCTTGATCTGTTGTGTCTGTCAGTTACATGCATATGTATCTTAAGTTTAGCAGCGTACTCCCTTTTAAAGATATAACGCCAATTGCATATTACAGCAAGTAACTTCTGTAAGTGGATATTCATTTGCTAGCATATGACATTATTTTCTCGAGGTAATAATGTTCATCGACGGCAGCATTCATAATATATATATCTGCCTACAAACGGCAGCATTTTTTCTACGACCGGACAAGATTGAGCGTCTGTAAAACTTTCAAGAAAAGACTCACGGGGTAGATATTTGGCTTGCGTGACCCCAATGGATAAACGTTTTTATTGATAACAGGAAACTTAAGATATTTTGAACAGAAAACAGACATTTTCACGGATTTTTTCGAGGCTGTCACTTTTAATCTGCTCAAGAAGTCTTTAAACAGGAAAAAACGAGTCCAAAATTACCTTACAGTATCTCCATTCAATGGACAATACTTTTATAGCAATGAAATGGGCCGTATTTGTGTAATATATTGAAACCAACCAAATTTATAACCTACCTGTATCGATCGGTAATTTTCAGATATCTGCCATCACTGCAGTGATCTGCCATCACTGCCGCCGTTAATACGGTGTGTTACGACTGTGTCATTCTCACGTTGAGCCGTTCGAAATCAACTGTAGAACTGTTGTAATACTGTTAGTACTATGTAACAAAAATAAAGTGCGCACGTATACTAAAGTTCATGTGTAAAGTTATTGTAAATTAAATATTTAAAAAAAAGAATGTTTTCAGTCTATATATAATTCGAAAACGAGGTCGGTGAATCCCCATTTTTTCCCCACAGTATATCAAGCTTTATCACATACCTGTGCCGATTTTGCGACTCCGTAAAAACCGTATTGCACGGCCTTGCAAATATTTTAACGTGGTGTCTTGTGCGTTTTACAAACATTGTGTAAAGACGCGCTAAACTGGTTGAATAAAATAATATTATGCTCGCAAAGGCTCGCATAATATAACTTTATTCAACTCGTTCAATAAATTCAGTATTGAACTTACGCTCATTCAATATCCTCTGTATATCTAATGAAGAAAAGATTTTATAATATTCATTAACAGTAAAGTAATTGTATGGTCTATTCAGCAAAAAGTTGAAACAAAACATAAAATGTTTCTTATTTAACACTCGTGGTTATGCGCGTTATTAGAAAACAATATTCCGAAAGTATTCTGCTTCTATTTTAGGATGGTTTTAATCGTTTAGCAATGATTTCGGGCATGCGCCATTCGCTCCTCAGGAAATGCATAAGCATATTCATTTCATTCGGATTTAATAGAAGTATTCTGTCACAATTTAAATAAATATAGGTTACCACGTACAGTATCTAATTTTGTAAAGAGACAGGGATATATCTGCTAATGTAGGGTATACTTTAACCACCTTTGATGAAAATCAATATAGATTTATTTATAACTATTTGTTTCTTCACCACCATACCGGTATCATGTTATCTAGTGTATCGGTTTATGTCTCAGGGTAATGATATTAAATCTAGTATTTCATAATGTTTTCGTTTAAGGCAAATATATATTTACAAACAGAAATAACCATATTTATTTGATTATCGTCTTAATAATACAATGTACCCAGACAATTTTTATATACCCGCGTTCGCTCTAAATTAATAGCAAGTAATCATTTAAAAACTGCATTTTACATAAGTGACCTACTGTATAAAAGTTTTAATATTCAATGATGTAGGCTACTGACGAAATTTTATTTTTTATTTGACTCACTTTTGTTTATTTTAAATGTATCTTATTCTAAAGGGTCGTTCATTTTACAAAAATATAGGCCTTATTCATGTCATGATCATTCATTTGATATAAATATTATTATTTGATATTAATATTGATAGATACTAAAATGATAATGCAATGAGTCGATGAAATGTAATGCCCAATAGTATTTTAGTATTTACAATTTTAAATCTTACTAATTATCAATTAACAAAATCTAAATAAAATTCTCGTATTTTCTAAAATATTTCATTTTATTGTTATTGGTCAAGAAACATATAGATGACTCGAGTTTCTGAGTTTGAGTCCGGTTTTGCGAACTTGTACAAAAACAATAATTTATTAAAACATCATAACACACAATCAAGCTCGAATAAACATTATTAAAAATACCCAGGTTTAAAAGATGTTTACAAGATTTATGTAAACATATACATGCTTGAGTAAGATTAGAGTGTGTAAATCAAACATAAAAAAACATAGTTACCTTCATTTTAACAATCCCGATAATTTTACTTCCTGTAAGGACACAGTTTAAAGTACTCTTCAGCAAATATAAAACAACTTAACACACTGAATTCTGTGATGAACAATGCAAATTACTACATTTTGCATCCTCGAACCTCGAAACTCGAAAATAAAATTAGGATTTTAATGTCGTCTATAAGAGGCTATTTCCTTATTTGTAAAAGTTTAAGGTTACCGATTAGGCCAAATAAAAACATTTCCGTTACTTGCAACGTTTCAATGACTACACACGGCAAAACATAGCATTACTGTAATTAAATAGTATTTTTGCAAAGATCTCAGAATTGGGTTATATTACAGAATCATCAGAATATTTGGACAGTAAATTCAACTATATTCATAAGTCTTTATCATATAGTCTTTATCATTTAGTCATATTCTATATAAGTCTATTGTTAAAAGACGGTCCCGACAGCTGGTAAATGTTCCCTTTGCAGGAGGACGGGAGAGGGAGGGTGTATCATGTGACTTTTTGCCATGTTGGGCTTTCTTTATGGATTCTTAATTCTCTCTATATTGTATTTAAGACAAATAGATAAAAAAACAACACAATTTAAAAAGAAAATACATGTTTCAATACGAGTAATGGCGACTGCTGAACATAGGTTTAGTTCATTATTTTGATATACTTCGGTGACAAATGTTTCCTAAATCCAAACTAGACCTATACTGAGTAACCTATCAAATGCAAGGTAAATTTCTTAAAATATCACAATACCGAGTGCGTTTTCCTATGTTTTATACTTTTCGAGAACATTGTTCAGTCCCTCCCCTCCGCCCCGAAAAGGGAGTCTGGTTGCGAAATTACTAATGCTGCCCACTTCCGCATTCTCGGCTTTTTTCGCGCAATAATAAAAATTGCGCAATTCATCAACAGGTGAAAAACTCTTCTCATTTCCGCCGTATTAGCCCACAATGACTCGGACAGAAACCGAGATAACAACTGTCTACATGGCACAAAGTGAATTGTTTATACTGCACCAAGAATCGATTTAAAAAGAAACGAATAAATTATTTGTTATGTTCTGAAGTTTGGTGTTGACAATAAGATCATATTTCATATTAGAACACGTCATCATTCAACAATGATCACTTATGTTGAGTTTTATATAATGTAACTATAAGTGTTAGTTCTCAATTCGTAAAGGATTCAAACATACGAGCATTGGCTTGCAAACACAACGTTTTAGACGACCTAGCCAAAGAGT